GTTTCTCGCAACAAACACTAGTCCCAAAGCCTCCTTTTCGATTGAGCATAATTATTCTCAGCTGGCGTAAGGGTTCGAGAAGCATGCATGATCGCCTCCAAACCATCTGGAAATACATGGGAGATGACGGCACCGACGCCGTAGCTAGAGGCGTCTGCAGCGACTACGATCGGTAGTTTGGGATCAAAATGTGTTAGGAAGTGGTCGGAACTAGACATTCCCTTTAGGTGGTTGAATGCACGTCCATATTCTGGTGACCACGACCAAACGCCGTGCTTTTTAAGCAGTTTATTCAATGGTGCTCTGGCATTATGGAGGGTGGGTAAGAACGTGTCGTAGTGAGTCACTAGCACGAGGAACGATCGTAGCGATGACACATCCTTTCGAGCGGATATTTCTCGGATTACACGCAAATTTTCAGGGTCAGGCCGGTGAACATTTTTATCAATGATAAAACCGAGGTATGTGATTTCTGAGAGGAGGAACTAGCACTTGTCCGGTTGCAACCGGAACCTGTATTCCTCAACTCGACGTAAAACCTCAGATATCCTTCTGTGCAGCTCGACAGTGGTGCTACCCATTACAATGATGTCATCCAAGTAGGCTGCCGCGTCGGATACACCAGAAATCATGGAATCCATTATCTGTTGAGAAATATCAGGAGCAGACGTAACGCCGAAAGGTAGACGATTGTAATGCAACAAACCGCGATGCGTGTTTATGGTTACCAGTTCTCGAGATTCCGGGTATACTTCGACTTGCAGATGAGCTTAAACTAAATCCAGCTTGGAAAAACAGGATCCGATGTTAAGCATGGTGAAGATATCCTCAGGAATCCGTAGTGGATGACAATGACCTCTCAAAGCATTTAATCCGGTGGAAAAATTCTTTGAGGCAGCGTAGTTCCTGATCTACCAACGGGAACGTAGCATAGGGTACTGGTCGATTTTGTCGAAACAACGGAACACAACCAGGCTTTAACCGGAGAGTTGTCTGAGTCGGTGTGCAACAGCCAAGACCCTAGGGAAATCATGAACAATGGGCTTGGCTGATGAGGCTTGAAGTAGGCGGTAGATAGCGTTTAATGGGAGAGCAGCAAGGCTCAGCGTGTCAATCCAATCCAGACCAAGGAAACTGAGATTGGAGTCTGAAATGTAACGTTGATGACAGAGCAAGAAAGCTGACCGGTAAGCCGAAACGAACTACCACAAGCACAGGTTGCTTCCTGAGAGGTAGCTTGAAAAGGTGGGCTACCTATTGAACTCCACAACTCCTTCGAAATTATCGTGATGTCGGATGCGGTGTCTAGTTGAAGGATGGCCACATGGCCGTTGAATTTACATAAACCAATGTTTGTCGAGAAGCGACATCCAATTTGAATGTAGCTAGAAGGCTACGAGGATGAACGGCTTGAGTAGGAGGTCTTGATCGCTGCTTCAATTTCACGGGCTTCTTGAAATTAGCCCGGGTCTGACAAAAGCCATCACTGTGGACAACTTTATCACACCGCTGACATCGGACGAAGTTTTATTCACCGCAGTGCCAACACGGAAGTGGAGGCATCTTTCAATGGCGGAATGGAGTAGATGACTGGTGCTGACAGGACGTTTAGAAGCCTCCACAGAGGGAACGGAACTGAGAGGGCGGTCAGGATACTACACAATGGCTGTATCGTGTTCCATATTTATGAGGCATTGGCATTCAGTAGTGACAGTTTGTAACGTCATCCGCGGATTCTGCTCAACTTTTCTCAAAAGTCGCGTACGAAAATATCGGCATCCTTTGACGATTGAAGGCCGCATATGAACATGGGGCACTTAAACTGGTCGTTTGTGAAAAGGTAAGTTGAAGCGTTCGCACTCTTGATCAACCACAGCGGCATAAGTGATGAAATACTCCGCGTCACCTTCCACACGTTTGGGACACAGATAACGAATATTGAAAAGTGAGGATTGCTCAACTAATATTTTCGTAAGTGTTTGCACTGTTTCATCGAATGACCGATCGCGTGGGTTCTGTGGTAGGATGCAATTGGAGTAGCTTTCGTGCTCAATAGAACCGAAGTTTCGGAGCAGAAGGCGAACATTTAATGCGTCGTCACGATGGGCAAACTCAAGGAGGAATAAGTCCTCGTACCGTTTGAACCAAGAATCAAATGTTACGTTAGCCGCAGGATCGAACAAAAACTCGGTGATACTGTTGGCGGGTTGTCCGCTAAACTTAGCGATGAAGGATTGGCTAGGCTGTCCTAGCGAGGACGCGGAAAGGCATTTAGTAATCAACTCCATCAGCCACATCTGTTACTGCAGGATCAGTTTGGTATCACCAGAGTCGATGTTCATTGATAAAGCAGGGTCTATCGCCAAGTTGTTACGATCCTATGGCCACTAACGCAGGACGGAACGAACATGCACGGGAAACTGAACACTCACAAGGAAATCACAAAACAAATGCAACCCAAATCCGGCACCAGTCTAGAGCTTCAACCCAGGAAGGAAGGAAGCTAAGACCTCACATGCGAGATCTATTCGCACACCGAGATAGAACACCAGAAGTAATGGAAACTCATGATTGCTTCAGGTTATTCAACGGCCTTGCCAAACCACCCAATCACAATGCTCGTCTGAAACGGGAACAGATTGCGCGCATTGTTTAGAAAAGAAAAATGGTGGCTTACAAGAAGCCCATAGGTTTAATTGGCACTCGTGTAGTTCTTGGGAAATATGGCAATTTCCCAAACCTGGACAATAAGTTACACAGTTCGGTCGTTAGAACTAAAAAATATCGTGTGACGTAGCCTGGTATATTTACTCATCAGGTGTTGGATTGTCAAGCAAACGCTGTAAGGAAACTGCAGAAATCTCAGGATAACGATGGTGAATCGAGTGAGTTAAACTGTAAGCGTCTCATTTCAGCTTAACAGGTTGATCGCATTTTCACACCCATGACGCGGTCAACTATCTAGCTAACCATAAGATGCCATATTTCGACAGATTCAAATTTTACAGATGATTTTCATTTCCATTCGTGTGACATTGCAATCCCTCTCGGATTGCAATGATCTCGTAGTAACCCGGTAAAGTATCACTCTAGGCCACCCTTTGTGTACTGCTCTCGTCCTCACATAGACAAACTGAGACAAGTTATCAATCTGGGTTCACCGAGAGCTGCTACACTATGACTTCTGGAATCACTGACGTCTGGCAATTAAAGCGAATAGCAGAAACACAGGTAGAATGTTCGATACATTAAGGAATTGGTCGATATATGCTAGTGCCCAGAACAAACCACCAAGGGTACAATAGTAACACGCTATAACACCGCCTTGTGGTTTTTCATAATTGGCAGCACCCGATTCCGGATTTGTCTGTCAACGTGGCCTCCACGGGGACAGCCACAGGACGCCTGAGCCTACAGATGGAGCATGGGTGGATTGTGCTGCACCACCCACAGCTTCATCCATACACCCCATATGCAGTGTAAACACGAAGGAATAAGACCGCGAGGCACGTTTCATCAACGGAGCCGGCCCACACTCTTGAAACATGCAGTGACAGCATTCCTGTCTGTGTAAATGGGGAGTCATGCGCACCAGATGTACAAAAGGCGGTAGTTGGGTCGTAGCCCATTACATACTGGTTAAACCACACTTTGAGCCTAGCCCGGTCACGAGGATTTTGCACCACGTCTACGCAAGTAACGGCCAACTGTCTCCTGGAGCCAGTATAAATGAAGTAACGATTTCCCAACAGATAGACACATTGTCAACATTCCCAGCAAGTGCAGGCAACATATAATATAAAAAATAAACATGCGAACTGAACAGTAAAGGTGGCAGAATGACAGAACAAGGAAAATCAAAAAGTGCGTACAAAGTCTGATCTAGTGTAAAGGCAATCTTGGGCAAGTGTAAATTAGACGATATCAAGCGAATAAGACGGAAATGCACGAAAAAGGGCGAGTAAAATAAACGGGGAATATACGGGGGATTAGCAGGACAGAACTGTGCAAATAAAAAGCAGAATGGATTCAGTCATATGCAGTGTAATGCGGAACAAACATAGGTCACTAACCCAACTGCGGTGGAGAAGCATAAAGTATGCAACATCAAGCACATTCACTCTAGGGAATCCGTGCATACCTCGCACAAGAGAGAACCGGACCGGATCAGGCTTAAGCTACGGTACGGATAGCCTGTAGTTAACACTCACTCACACTCCACGGCCTCTGTTACCCGCAAAGCCATATACCTCATAGTTGGGAGACGGCAAATACAGGTGGCGGTAAGTCATCACTATATAACCCAAAATCTTATTTTTGTGGCACTTCACTCAGTAACCGTGTCGATATTATTTATTTCCCTATGTCTATTGTCGGTGTCAACTCTTTTGATTTAGTCTAACCCTGCAACTCAGTTCCACGCCTAAACATTACGCAACCAACCGGATAACATCTAATCCAAACTCGACAAAAAAGGCAACCAAGCCACCATTTCACTGGTGAAAAGCGTTAGACCCCAATTATGGTGTGAAAATCGTAGATTACCAACGGAATTGCAGCACACAGACGACACAACCCAAACTTTATGTGTATCGGGCTGATCAATATGCCGGAAAACGAGTGAAGCAAAAGAAAGTAAGCATGAATAAACACAGGCAAATGCCAGATAAACAGAATTGACCAAATGCGAGGATGTAAAGTGAGGAAAAAACAAAAAACGATGCAACAGTGCACGTGCTTAAGCGTTATTTAGTCAAAGGAACAAACGAAAAAGGGCATCGCGTCAAAATAGAGCACAGTGACTAGACGTGGCAAATTGCAAGTACAGTGATGGAAGTAAAAACGAAAAACAGATATATCAGATGCTGAGAAATGGACGCCATATTCATAAGGAGCAAAAGTTTTGCGTTTATGCAATATTGCGTTACAATTAAGGTATCAATGAAACAGATCACTGTTGTCACGAAGATCCTCAGAAAATTAGAATTTAGGTGGCATAGCTATCGAGAGCACAGCAATACAAACTCTACCTCATCATCCATAAAATCTTCCGGGTGTTGGGTAACCATATCCTCAGGAGCACGCTGCCTCGTTTTCCGGGAAGATGTGAAGCTCTTCGGCACAAAACCTGCAGAGTATGAAGGACAGGTTAATGAAAGCAAGAAAACCGGACGAGACCTCCGGATGCATTCTAAAGCAAAGGCGTCTGTAAATATGTAGTAAAACATTTCATCGGTAAACATACTAAACTTGCATCGTGAAACTGTCAAAATCAGCCAGGACGTAAGATTCGAAAGATGATCTTGCTAATCACACAACCCAACAAACAAGTTAAAACAAAACTGTTTCCAGTCCTAGGGAAAGTATTAATTGGTGAAAGCGTGGGGGCATCTTAATCAGTCGGTCTCAAAACAAGTGACGCGTAACCAACTGTTTTAAGACGAAGGATTTGTTCTACTGAGCTCTGGCAGTAGGCATCAACAGTAAACCGGTATGCGGTATCAACGATTCGCTGCCGCACAACCACCACCGATCGCACATGCGCTAAGAATACTGCCAAAGTCGTCCTGTCCCTATGCATGCTTGAACCTGCGACCTCAGATTACAAGGCACGCTCGTGATCCCTAGAGCTACGGGCCGAATTCACTAAAACTAGGTGTCGTATACATTAATATAGAGAAAATGGTTGTTAAGACTGCATCTGAATATGATTCGCCATTTCAACCTTGATTTTCATCAGACGCGCGAGAACCAAATAGCTGGAACAAGAAGTCATAACAGCATTTGATGTACTGAACGTACAATTGGGAAATGAAAGTGGGAACAAACTACACGGATAAAATGTCTGCAACCCCCTGAGTTGAATGCAGACAAAGTAAACAAGAGAATTGTAAAACAAAAACAGCCTGGAGCGCTCGCAGAACCAACGCTGAAGTTCCATGACATATTCCAACCTCCAAAAGATGGACTGGGAGAAGTCACATCGGATATAGAGGTCTTCAAGTGTGCTGTCTGAAACGTGCTTTATTTCGTGCCAACCCACACTATAAACAAACTTTATTCTTGTTGTGAAATGTTTGCAACTGACAGGTAACTTGCTTGAAACCGTTTGAATAGTGTGTAGAATATTAGACGAAATTCAAATGCGTGCCTAAATCAATGGCCATCCTCCAAGCAAGCAACAAAATATGTATTTCTGAATAGGACAATGATAAGAAAATATGCAAGTAATGTAGACCGGTAGTCGTGAATAGTAACTAGTACCAGAGTGACCTCAGGTCCAGCCTCACAAAGGGTCATTTCAGAGTTTCAAACAAGCCGTAGAGCCAGATGCCAAGAATGATTGGCCTCTAACGTCAGTGACAAGAAGATGTAAGACCCGATGAGAACGCACATACCTTCCTTTGAGCCGACAGTGTTGAAATATCCTGCAGAAAACCCGCCGGTAAAAGCTCCATGAAAACGCATTGGCCTTCCTTTCTCGTTAAGCATACGCTGTTCAAAAGCTGAAGGAATGGCCCTCGGTTTACCAAACTGCAGGGCACGGAAGCGACTATCCTCTTGAAAGAAAATTTCGGAACTGGTAGTTAACACACATACCTGACTCATCGTCACTAAAAGCGGATCCATATGTGACCCAATTGTCACCTTCCTCCTTTTCGTTAAATGGAGTCATTGCACTAGGGAAGCATGAACAACTTGAAAAGTATACAGGGCAATAAAAGCAAACAAAAACAGTGAACATATCCTGAAAGATAATTTGATACATTGTTTCTAGCTAATGAAGCCGATATGACAAGAGAATGAATGATTAGTGTTGCTCATGGAAGTGGCTAAGCAAAGGAAGTTAGACAACGCAGTCAAGAACAGTCAGCATGCGATATGTCATGTAGAACATGCAATAACCAGGCAAGCAGCCAGGTTCCGGAATGATTCTTGTATAATGACACCTAATCAAAAAGAGGGTAGTTTGGTTCGACTGAGCAACAGAGAATAAATCATGCTATAATGTACCGGAGGAAAATAGAAATGATAACCGTAAGGAGAGGCAATAACCAATTATCGTGTGAAGAGGAGAAGCCATCGACCAATAGATTTTATGAAGTGGGTGTTTGCTGCATGCGTTAGGTTTCGATTTACAGTTCTCATGCACTGTCAGTTGAGTACTAGAGTCCAGTACAGCCGTTAAGAGAACAAGTTTGACTTCGCCGAAAAAGATGGAGTTTCGGAATAGATTCTCCAAAACTATACTAGGTTAGATACCAGCTTGACACCAAGAAGGGCATTAGATAACTAGTCTCCAAAGTTATGCACACTCCATTTGCCCGATAAGAAACCAAAATAACCGACGCTTCTATTTGAAGTCAGTAATTTAAGCTGCTGGACAGCGTGGGTTAGGCGGTAGTTTGAGTGACCAGAAAACGAGTAATGACATGATGCGACATTCGTTCGTCGCTGAGGCGCGCGTTACAGAAGATATGATTAACCTCCGAAGACACAACGTCCCTCGTTGACCTGCCATCACCCGATGGCATTATAAGCTAGTTTCGGAAGTTACTATTTTAGAGTGTAGTGAAACAGAGCTAAGAAGTAAAGTTCTAAATTTAATCGAAACCATTCACTTCAATATCCTCTACAATAAACTGGAATTACGCTGAGGATTGTCCAGACATAAGCTGGCATCCCTTGGGCCATTTATTATTGAACCCAAAATAGTGTGCTGGCCGTTGTGACTATAATACTTATTTCACGAATACGATTTTGCTTCATATATCATACTCCAGGTGTCTTACCAGTTGTTTAGGCTGACTGTACATATTATCTTTCGTAAGATGCAATCTACAATTTAGTTCCTGTTGTTGTTGTTGTTGTTGTTGTTGTTTTTGTTGTTTTTTCGCCCTTTTGTATTCAGTTGCGTTAGTGCTGCGGATTTTCGCAATCGGCTAACTGTACCTTCTATTCATGCTCCTAGTACTTTCATTTCGGAGTGTTGACGACTTGTTCGCGCAACTAACTAAGCCGTTTTTTCCCAGAATTTTTGTCATCAATGAAAGCGACATCTTCAGTAGTACTGGCCTGGCTGGTAGGCAAAAGATGTAAGAATAAATCCGACGGATGTGGATATATGGGCGTCACAAAATAAACGGCAAATGTTCGACCCACATTTTAGCATCACCTGTGGTATAGGACAGAGATGCACATAACACCGCTCTTATTCGACCTCACGATAGATATGGTTCTGTGGTTTCCCGGTGTTAAGGGATCCTGCTCACAAAGAGCATTCCAGTTCATTTATATGTCCATATCTCGAGTAGTAGCTTGGATTTAGATGAGGTAATCCAAAACCATTGGTTGGAAGCTAGTTTGGCAACTTGCACTTTTACGTACATTCACTGCGATCAGCTTAGTGCAGCGTGCGTGACAATGAGATTAAGGGTGATCCCAGATAAAACCACGGAAAGTCCTAAACTGCTAATGGCACCACAGAAACCAATATCAGTCATAAAATCCGTTTGTTGCATTGCAGAATCACGGGCTCCTTGGGTAGCATTTATGCGTAAACTAATTATAATGTCACAGAAGAAACTTCAGAGATGAATAGGAACGTTTATTATGCAAAAAGTAGCCAACAAATAACTCGGGCTCTCCAATTCTTTAATGAATGAAACTGAAGGAAGTAAACAAAGAACACTGCAAAAGCAACGAACGAAAGTTTAGATGAGTGTCAAAACTGTTTCCATTGACCACACACCATACCCCCCCCCAGTTAGGAAACGTCACTAGTGCGCCGGCAACTCTAGCTCTGTCCCCACAGTTGGTGCTCGTCCGGGTTACTAGGATAAGTTCCAAAGACGATAAAGACTTTCGCCTAACGAGCGTGCTACTTCGTATACCGAAAAGCGAATCAGATGTTCGAATGACGACGAGGAAGGGATATGCAGCTGCGAAGAGCATAAATGCTGCAGAAACATCATAGATGAACTAGGCGGGAAGAGCAATAAGGATAAAGACGCCTTAAGACATCAAATGAAACCGAACCATACCCCAATGCAACTGAAGCAAATTATGCCTAAAGTTAGCCAACTAGAAAAATGTACTAGTGAAAAGCCGGGGTTTTCAGGAGGAAACAAAGATCTTCGTGATCATTGATTAATAATTACTAATGCTGCTGAATTTGAAAAAGAATTCTCAGTTGTGAAAACGCTTGACAAGCAAGCATTTTTGAAGCGGATGATATCTATCCTACTCGGCGAAGAGGAGAAGAGCATCGACATTGCCTCTGCTAATCAACTAGGTAGGAAACAGGATGATACATCCAAGAGTCGCCCGCAAAAAGTCATCTGTCAGGATGAGGAAGAATGTCGCATCCTCAGATGAACGTCGCATCTCAAGAAAGAAACCTTTGTTCTGAAAGACTATACCTCAGCGGATCGAGTCAGAATGAGACAAGCTGTCAAGGAACTGCAAACACGCAGAGTGAACGGCAAAACTGATCAAAATGTGGATTTTCGAGCTCTTCAGAAAACCAAGAGAACCCGTTAGAAGCCAGCCCTTCTGCTCTGAAGCCATGAAGCATAAATAATGGATTGCGGGTAACCCTTACCAAAGTGTCGTAGTCATATAGCCACTAACGCGATTCGGCACGGACATGCACGGAGATTGAAGACTCACAACGAAATCACAACACAAAGTCATAAATGCAACATAAATCCGCCATCGGTCTATAGCCCCAAACCCGCGTATAAGGCGGAATAACTAACAATAGTTACCAAGGATAGCGGATAGTTTTATCTTCGATGCACAATGAGACCATCCGGCTTGCACGCAGTTCCGCTCTGTTTCCGCGAGTCTCGTGTTCGCCCCCCGCGGGAATGTGTCGGCGAGTATCCAAAAGTGCCAGAGACTGCAGAGACACAATGTCCAGATTGGCAATTTAATTTGTTACATGAGAACATCTGTCCCTAATAATGTCTGTTGGATGTGCGGCCAGTGTCCCTCTACTGTGTTCAGAGAACGCTTACTCAGGTCGGATGCCAGCGTACTTTGATGCACTTTCAGAACATACGGCTTCGCTAGGTGGCCAGTAGATATCCGCCCACAGCGTCGCCAAATGCGCCTGCCGAAGCGAACTATAAGATCGGCACAAACGAATGTGTGGTCAGAGTCCAGACTCGTGCTCCAAACCGAGCAATAGCTTTGGACACAGCTTCGCCAGCGGCAACTAATCGCGGTGTAGTCGTTACATTTAAGTTGGTTTTCAGAACGGTAGTCCAGGGTGCCAGGGTGGAGTAGAACCTTTGGTAGGGGACCTGCCTTACCTACCGGGGTATCCGCTTATGTTTTGTCTCCACCAGTTACTCACCTTTCATCTGTGGCTTCAAGAAGCAGCTTGTACGCGGCAGCGGCCCCACCCCAGTAAACAGTCAGATAGACGGGCTAAACCAGATGAAGGTAGCCGGGAACATTATCCTCGGTGAGCTCGTACCCGCGTGCAAGGTCAGTCCTGACAGCTGGCGGAAGAGATCGACTCCTGATCCAACGGCCAGAAATTAAGACAATTTCCCAGAGCTTTGCTGCCTTGCAGGTGGCATTCGGCTGTGCAAAGGCTAGAGGTGACCCTCGAACAAAAGTCAAATGAGGTTGGGGTTCTCATAAGTATAATGCCCAAAAAACCTCATGGCGCCCGTTGCTCGCGATTCTTCTCATGCTACGGCGTTCCCAGTAGGCGACGTGTTGTGCGCCGACTCAGTGGCCAGGGTAACAAGTAAGCTAGCTGGGTCCCTCAATCCCCGGAAGTCAATATTTATTGGATGCTAGAATGTCAGAACCCAGCTGAATATCGGCAGCTAAGTGTTGACCATGCGCACAATACATGACTATTAAATCGACAAAGCATGCCTGTCAGAATCTCGAATATCCGGCTTTGGCTCCCGACAAATCAAAGTCCCTGGTGTAGACACCTCATATTGGCTTTAACACTGAATCGGAAGATACTCCTGGCAATCATAAGGTCGCCATGGCTCTTAGTCGCCAGGCACACAACACCCTGCTTTCATGGAAGCTAGCAGCAGCTAGAATAGCAGTTGCTCGTTGCAAAGGTCACAGGATGAATATGACCATAAACTCTGTCTACGCACCAACCTTACCCTCAGTGGAAAGGAACAAAGACGAATTTTACGATACAGTAGAGAGACGGTGGTGAACGATGTTCCTAGATGCGACATCATTATTAATGGGGACTGGAATGTGAGAACCAGGTTGAGGAACGACTAGAGCCGTCACATACTCGGGAGGTACGCCCTTGGAGAGCGCTGTGCTAATGGAGATTGCTTGATCAGCTTCGCCGACCTTAAGCGGTTGTGCATAACCAATATTCGTTTCCAGGAAGCATTTGCTGACGTGGTACTCCAATGATGGCCGTAAAGCTAGCCAAATAGATTACATCTTAATCCGATTACGGGTCATGTCCTCCATCGATGACTGTCGAGCCCCACTGTAGGGGCTGAAATGGGCAATAAAGGTGGTTCAGACCACGTAGCCTTGCGCATCAAATTCAGACTCCGCTTGACAACGTGCTGTAAGTCTCTTCCATCAAAGTGTATCAACACTGCCCCATTGGAAAAAACTGACTGCTGCCGATCCCTTGAGGTAGTAATAGAAGCATAAAATTCTGCC